TTACTGTAAGAACCGAGTGCCGGACTGAATTTTCATTTTAGTGAAAAGCTCATTCATCCGACCTGAAATGTTTTATGGGAACTGCTGGTTCAATTTATATTTACACAAAATAGCAGCTAGTAGATCAGAGCCGGAAAAATACCGTTGCGTCGGTATAATGACCTCGGAAGAGAATCTTCAAAAAAGACGGCTTTGCATAAATCTAACTCCTGAATGCAAACGTTCTTTATGAATTATGGCAGCAAACCTTACCCCTTCACAGACCGCGCCAACCCCTACAAGACGTGTCGATACAGCTTACAAACTTAGCCAATCACTTATAGAAAATCAAAAAAATCAAAAAAATAAAAAAAAATCATCAAGAAAATCATGGAGGTAGATACGGTAGCCAGTTTAGTCTGTAATTACACACCTAGCTCCCCTTAAGCGGGAACGTTTCCTTAATTCAATTTGTAATGCCCACCTTTTAACGGGCAAATATTTACTACGTCCTGCCAATAATATAAAGAGTTCATCTTTCATTAAGGGTTCTACTGAGATGCGTACATCGCCGAATTTTGACGCCAATTCTCTTGCCAGCAGTTTGGAATTCCATGTGGGTTCCCTTTGCAGAGTAATCTCATACTATTTATGTCGTTGCAGAGAGACAGGCTAGTGATTTTGTTTTTTTTTTCACAACTCTAACAAACCCTTACTAACTAGTCAAGTAAGCATGTGGGATGTCCTTTTTCGTTCGAGTTGGTATTTCGAAACAGCGGTGTCCGGGTGGCGTTAAATGACCAACGAGCATATCAAAATCATTGCACATTCCTATTTAGCAATCGGTGAACGAATCGTGATTTCTATTTCTTTTGATCATAAGATGTTCTATTTTTGCAAAAGTCAATTGATATTTTATTCAATCTTTCAGGATGCTATAATAGACGAAAACTTCTGGAAAGATAAATCATCCGTCGAGCATCTTTTTGAGGTGATTTTTGTTTCAATGTTCTTCGTAAGTATGAAAGTTATAGTGGTTTTTTTCGCAAAACAACCTTCTGGGGCCTTGTCCTGCTGGCATGACGACCAATCAAGAGTGGGCAGCCAGCTGTAAGCTTTTTTATGTCATATGGACAGAAGGTAAATTAGCTCCCAATGATCTCTTGTGTCCCATGATGTGTTCTGAGTTGTTTGAAGAAATCACTCAAGATCGCCAATTCCTCTTATACTGACTGGAAAATCAGACCGCTTTGCGAAGTATTAAAGGCAGTACTTATCGAGATTAATATCAAACCCATCTCGTACGTTTTCTCTGGCTCCAGTCTTTTGTATGCATCGTTTTAGTACAAGAGCAACATCTTGGAACGTTGTATCCAATATTTCACGGACAGGTCTCTGCTGAAGCGTCTTGTGAGTACATCCGGTGTTCTTACTCACGTTATAACGATAGCCTGAGACTCGCTGATATTGCTATTTTTCTTATTAAGGAAGCTTATGAGGACTCTGAATTGAAGACGTTCATTGCTCAGAAACTGTTTAAAGTTGATGGAATACTATGCGATGAATATACACGGCTCGAATTGATACAGAACATGACTGTGCCGGCGGCCTTCTTTGAACTTGACGAAACTGACTTCGTCAGAAAATACGGGTGATGAATTTTATTAACAGAATTCTAAGTTAGGTATCAAACTAACAGTCCATAATTGACTATTGCTACAATTCCAGTGAGGAAATGACTGGTTGGATAAGGGACCGCTTAGTCCCATCGGTCACCGACTGCACCGATGTGATTTACAAAGCTGCATCACATTTCAATTGCCTGAAAAGCGTGAGACGTTTCTGTTTTTAAAATAAAAGAAGAACTAGGGTTGTGTCAGAGCCTTCGTTAGAAATGATTTTTCACTTCCCCTTCTTTTTTACTTTCATCAGCATTATTCTTGGCTCAGCTTTCAGCGTGATCCTCTTCACAACTGGTATCGCCAGCCGGAAGAACTATCGGCTCATATAGCTGCACGCATCTCTAGGTTTGCTGAACAGATGACAGATCGCGTGAAGTGGTCAATTCTCATTGAGCCGGGGAAATTCAACTGCCACTTAATGGTGAGCTTCTTCGTACGTTCCTCTGCAGAGGGAGTCGGCTTTTGTTTTAAAACGTTGTTTGCAGGAATTTACAGCCGAATTCAATCGCTTGGACTCGTTCTTTTCTGTAAATGAGCTAAGTCCTGAAGAGGCTTCACAGACCGCATTCAATATGAATTACCTCACTAAAGCTCGGAGCAAGCGTAACATTTAATGTTGTTTCTATTCTTGATTTGCCTCTTTTTTTCCTAGTTTGCCTATCAATTTCTGATATCGTTTCATGCTTCGTGCAGGATGACTTTCGTTCAGTGATTCCTTGTTGTGATATCTCTCGTGTTCGTTTGCAAGAAAACGATTCCCCACAAGTCAACCGCGCTGATCTCCTAGGAGAGATATTTGCAGGGGAACACACGACAGAATATACGAAAGAGCAAACAACCTAGTGTGTTCTTTATTATTTTCAGGCTTTTATACTTTATAAATGGACCCCGCTTTAGTGAAACGGTTTTCCTTGGACAGAGTTTTGCTTAGCGATAGTAGATTTGCTACTGCAGTGCTCAGAGCACAGAGTCGAGGTTTTGACTTATATTAATGTTTTATCTTCTCTTCGTTGTTGCGCTGAACAGGGCTAAAATGTGTCCACAGAATGAATGCTTCCACAGCTCACTTTCAACTTTTAGCGGTACTCCAGACTTCATTCATGCAAACTATGTCCGAGGTGGTCCGTTGTTGAACACATTTATTTGCACTCAGGCTCCTTTACAAAGCACGCAGGCTGATTTCTGGAGAATGGTACTATTCTGAGCGTTCATGTTACTTCTAGATAGTATTTATATAAGTGATTCAATATAATCACCAGCGGATGATTGGTCAATATTATTGTTTTTCAAACATCGTTGGTTTCAGGTTTACCAGGAACAATCACACTTTATTATCATGTTGTGTAGTGCTATGGACAGACATTCTCTGGGACCCCTAGATCACTCTCCATCTTCCAGTTGTGAGTACTATTGGCCAAGGTGAAATTCTACTCTGTATGTGGCTTCAGTCATTAGATTTCGAAATCAGAGCTAAATTACTACATTTGGTTCAAAGTTATCCAATTGTAATCCAGAAAAACTAGAGGCGTAGAATAAGAAGTCAACTATAGGTACTTATTAAAATTTTTGTCGAATTATTTGGTGGCTATATTCAGGTCAGTGGGTGATTCGCAAAGATATGGTTCATTCATAGTGCGCAACGTTCGACTTGACTGTACCATGGATCCCTTATTCAACGTCACTTATTTGGTATTTCACAAAAAGATAACCCTACTGTAGTGGAGAGTTTCTCTTCATAACAGAATTTGCAGGAAGTACATCCAGTAGATAAGGAAAGCGATGCAGATGTCCTGCACGTGGAACACTGGCAATGGGACTGGCAGAATATGTCCGATGTGCACTGGCCCTTCCGTGTTTTGAGGAAGTGAGTAAAACATCGCTTTTTCAAGGTTTTGGGAGCCAACTGCGGTGAATGCTATAAACCTTTATCCACCATTTCTATTGGTGATATGCTACGTGATATGATAATAGATAGGCTGGTGGATATGTTTAGAGCTCGTCTTTTAAAAACACCAACGATAGTCCAATGTTTGGACGGTTGCGGCCGCAGCGGTACTCTTGTGACTATTGAAACTGTGCTTATGCAGTTTCTTCGTGGTGAGTTCATTAAGGTTCTTGCTCCTTTAGCATGGTCTCTGAATTTCATAACATCTCCAGCTCATATGTTCAACTGCTTTTTAATTTCCATGTACTTTCCTTTACTACTCCTGCCTCCTTGTGATCTACTTGCCAACCGCTCCTGTCAGCCCTTTTCCTTGCATTTTCTCATTCGCATTTATAAGTGCTTACATTATTATTTGAGCGTGTCTCTAGTCCCTAATAGATCTATTTTGGAACTATAGGATCTCCACTTGACGACGACACTGTTCTTGTATCGGCTTTATTCGTACGTTTACAACGTCGCCTCGCCGTATCTTCAGCACTTCATTACTTATTCATTTACCGCACAGTTCTTCACTGGGTAAGCTTCAGCTTTCACTTACACTTGAATGGTACTTGCATTTCTAGTTGCATTTTTTTTTCTCTTTCGCTTTTCGTTAATAAGTAAAAAAAGAGAAGGGGAGGTTCATGGGAATTTCTTACAAGTTTGACGTTCAAACAATCGTTACAGCCATCTGATTACATCAGAACATTTCAAAGTTAATTCAGTGAAGAACGTGGCAGCCTGTCTTGAGTTGCATTGGGTGTTGCATCTTTCAGATATCTCCTTACATTACCTCAATATATCAGCGCTTTGCTCTTGGATTGTCTTGGCCAGGAATTGGATTTCTGGCTAAGTATGAGTCGATGGTGAAAAATTTGGCAAGGAATACACCTCCATATTGAGGTATCAATGTATTTTCAGATTTTTTTCATTTCTTAAAATGCGTTCGTTAGTCTTTGTTGCTTGCTTTTTTGTTCGGCAGTTTTTCTATATTCGCTGAACTTATTTTCGTACATAGAGCGCTACAGGAACTTACTTCGCTAGCAACGTGTCGTCTGCCTGCCATAATTGACTCCTTCCGCATGTAATTTTTACATTATGTGACAGCCCACGGAGTGCGTACCAAAAAATCTCATTAATAAGAGGTAGAGAAGGGAACATTTTGGAGCCCTCATATGTGGATACCGATATGCGATAATTCTGTTGAAATAGTAAAGAAGATCAAAACGGAGCTGAACGTAATCGCTTGCGCCGCATTGACGTCGGTAGTGGGCGCCCAGGAAAGCTCCAAAGGGATTATGAGAAAGATCAGTCGTTTACATGAGTTTTAGTTAATTAGTTCCTCAAATAGCATTATTGATAGCTTGCTGTGTGGAGGTCCAGGGCACTGCATATGCGTCAATTCATAGCATTTAAGGAGCTTCGAAGAGATTGCTCAGATTGTCTGGCAAGTGTGAATATGAGATGATCGGTGATTAATCTCATCGTAACTTTGTGGCTTTACTCGGCATTCAGTTAGTCGTTATCGCTTCAATCTGGTGAACCGAGCGTGCATACGCCCATTGCTATGGTACCGCTATGACGGAGCTGAGAGCATATGCTCGCCGAGATCAACAATTATAGCATATGATGCTTGTGTTAAGTCTAACATGTCATTATAGCTGCCAGCTATAGTGACCAAAGGTTGATCTGCCAAATGGCATGCCATGCGCATAAATCAAAACTTCATAACTCGTTTATTCGGTCTGCAAAGCGTCTCAGGTGCTCTTCTTTCTTGATGTCCTTTTTGTGCATTCTGAAAAAATTTTTTTAAAAAAACAAATAATTCNTTTTTTTCAGCTCTCGAATCACATAAACCATTTAGTGATATATACATATATGTAGAAATTAAAACGAACCCTATATATGGGCGCTTCGGCTGAACTCGATATATTTTGATTTTCAGACACAATGGATATCAGTGTCTATGGAAGAAAGTAATTATATGATTAGAAACGACGTTGATCGCAGACTAGTAACATCAACATTTCATCCGCTCGCTAGTCTTCGACCACATAATCGTCCAGCTAATGTTAAAAATCTAATAGTTGCATATAGAGTGGTCATTCAATTTATGCTTTATGTCTAGTGTTGTGAGAAAATTTGTTTCATATAGTATTTAATAATTTTTGGGTAAAGATGATGTGCACACATCATCTTCAAAAGGTGCTCTTCTTTATTTTGCATCGACTATTCAAATGTTTCTTAAGGCATAGCGCTGTTACAGAACTACACTATCAGTGTAAGTGAGACCGTGAGGACAGTCCTTAGTGTTATTTTTGCACCTCTGTATTTTCCGTAACCCTGGTTGATTGAAAACCGGTATAGATTGTTTTGAGTTTCAATAAAGTCGTTTTATGTCGCATGTCGCACTCGTACAAAGTGGGACTATAAACCAGAACGGTGTTAAGCATTTTCCGCTGAATGGTTTCCGCAGGTCTGATGAGTAGTTACATATGAAGCTCCAGACAGTTTATCTAAGAACATTAGGCTATATCTGGAATGCTACCAACGTAAAGCCTCCTAAGGCAGATATGTCAGTGTTTATCTCATTTGAAAGACCCTTGTACATAATGGAAATTCGTCAGCAGACGTCAGTTTGTCGTTTGTCATCATCAGTGATACATCTTGTTCTGTACATATTAGATCATCGTTATGAGCGACTCATATGGATCAGCAGATTATCACCATAAGCAACTAAAGAGGATGACGGGACCACGCCCATTGTCTCAACAGATTTCATTGCAGTTTGCATTAAGCCTCACATCCTGTATACATCTGCACTTCTGATAGCTACATATTTTCAAGTGCGACGTAGTCCTTTACAGATTTTCGCTTAGGTCTCCATTTCTTTTCCTTCCATTGATCATACCTTCGGTACAGCTCCTTGCGAGAGGCTTCCTAATGAAAGTGACTACTTTCGGTTACTTACAGATAATTGTGAATTCTAGACTACTAGTATAAAAATTCAAGTTTGAACTTCTACCTTTGACGTTATCTACGTTATTTTTACAATTTCTTTGATAGCGTGATATTTTCGTGTGAATGGATCAAGTTGTCCTCCATATTCATATATTATTT